TCCCTTTTGTATTATTATGATTACCAAATTTATTGTTATCATTAATTCCTTATTGCTTTGTTTTTATGTTTTGACTAGTTGGTAATTAAGTACATATAATCTATTTATTTAAAACTAGAAACATCAAAATTCAAAATTAAAACCCTTCCATCATACTCGTAGGGTCTTAATCAAAATCCTTAAACTAAGAAATTTTTTTTGTAATTGCAACTTCTCGCATTCTATATGAATATCCCATCATCAGTATTGATCATAAAATAAACATCATATTTTTACATGTATAATCCCATACCAAGTCATCATATTCTTTTATTTTCCTTGGATATATCTATGTAGAGAAGTTTGCATACTTATCATTTTATTTCTATTACATACGTGACTTATTTTATTTATAATTAAAGATGACTACTTTCTTTCTCCTTTATTTCCTTTTCATGTATAAAAGCCTATTCTCTCTCTCTCCTCATCCTCTCCCATCTCGTCTCTCCTGTCTCTCTCTTCTCTCTCTATGTGATATATATATATATATATATATAAATATATTTGACTATATTGACTATATCTATTCTTTATTTTCTATTTTAAGTCTCTTTTATTTTTTTAATATTTTTTTACTAAATGTTAGATTATTTTCTATATATATATATATATATTTTTTTTTCCTTAGCGAAATCTATCACCATAATTATATCTTATCTAGACACTTACTTCCTATTTATACATATTTCACTTATCTAAATCTATATTTTATAAATAAATATTCATTTAAGATTCAGGTTCTCTTTTTATAGCTACATATTTGAAACAATTTTATATTATCCTTGTTATCACTACTATTTTTTTTATATTTTCTGTTTGTTTTGATTTCCTAACACTAAAATAAACATAAATACATTTTTTATATATATAACTTTTCCTAGAATAATTTAAACTAAATCCAAAAAACATTTTAACTAAACAATATGGGCTAGACCCAACAAACTCAACCCAGATCCAATCAACAAAGGATAGGGCTTTATCTGATTTGGGCTTGAACT